TCAGACAGGCTGTCACCTTGTGTAAGAAAGAAATGCGCCACATATCAATTCAGGCAAAAAAAAAAAAAAAAATGGGGATACATTCCTTTAAAGGCTGCTTCTCTCAATCATTTGAAAGAGAGAACATACACAGCCTGGAACATATCCAATTTCTGCTTTTTTTCTTATCACTGAAGAGTATCCTAACACACCACAAATTTCATAACCTAAGCAGCCTCAGGCAATATTAGAAAGGATCTATTTTAGGTTGGAACATAAATTTTAATCTGAGATTTACCTGTGGCTGTCACAGGTGAAAGCAGGTTAGTTGCAAAACCCTTCAGGAATAAATGAAGGAACTATTAAATAAAATAGCCAAAATTTTCTGATTTTTCTACTAATGTGGGCTGTTCAGAAAGTGAGATGAATACTTACTGGTCATGCACGGACAGACAGCCTCTTTTTTATCCCCATTACTCAAATATTCATTTGAATAAAATAGTTTTGACCCAGGGGCTCATAGAAAAGGAGATTTCAGCACTTGCTTGGATGATTTTTTTTTGTGGTGCAAGTACTTAATGTGCATTTTGCCACATAAGAAAGACTACAACATGTATTTCACAAATATAAATGCAACAGAGAGAAAAAGAGAAGTTTCTTATTCATCAGAAGATCAATCCTTTATTTAAAGCCTTGTACTAAAAAGGTGTCAACTTTTAATTAAAAAAAACACTTAGAAGTAGTGGCAATCTCTTTACTAACATTGTGTGAAGTAACAGAGGGGTTAGATGTCACAGTTAAATAGTTATGTTTTGAGAAGTAGAAAAGAATCTGTTTCTTACTAGGCAGGATTTTCCAGTCTTTCTATTAAAATTATTTTACTTAAATATTAAACAGCATTTTGTTAACAGGAAAAACACATTTCCTTCCCTTTCTCCTTAGTAGAGGAAGCTGCTATTGTTTTAATTTCCTTCACTTTCCTCTTTGAATTTTATTTAATTTTTTTTTCCCTTATGCTACCTGTAACGTTACCAGTATAAGGCCACATAGCTAAAAATAAATAAAAATAAATGAACCCACCCAAACTTGAGTCATCCTGATTAATGTTCTGGGGTGATCATATTTTGAAATGTGCTAGGATTGCCTGATCAAGAGAGTAAACAATACAAAAATAGAGTCAGAACTTGAATTTTCCTAAATTAAAGATTTTGGGGCATATGGGAGGGTTTCTGTCTTTCATCCAACTCTTGTGATGCTCATTCAACAAAGAAAAAATGGAAAGGTCTTAAAAGTTTTTTGGCAGCATTTTTGCAAAAGATATAAACTACTGTCAAACATAGCGTGGAAGAAAAAAACATCTCAGTTGACAGAAACAATATGCTTCAATTTTTCTGTTGGTCATGATTTTGTATTCCAACAATACTTTGAATTCCAAATTAATCACTATGGTTATTAAAGAAAAATAAAATCTCCCTTAACCACTTCAAAAGTCATGAAAGAGATCTGTCAGTGTAGTCAACAATCAGTCCTTCAGTCTCCCTGCCTGTCTGCCTGCATGTATTGACCTCTGATTGGCAAGGTCTGAAGTTTGGTTGGAAGTTTGAAGAGCTCGGACTGTTCCTTACCACAGCTCTGTTTCTTAAACGTTGATTTCAGCTGGACAGGATCTGACCATGCAGTTAAAATTCTGCAATTAGCTACAAAATAAAGAAAAATATATTCATGGGATTTAAATAAAAGCAAAACTAGCTCAAACATAGGCTGACATTCTGCACTCAAAAAATCAAGCTTGCCATGTCTTCAATGCCAATTGATGTCAGTTTTGTGTATTCACCACCTATAATGGATTTCTGCATGCAAGAAAGAAATATATCACTGACATCTGTCCTGAGTACAGTAATAAAATGTTACAGACTTCACAGATAAAAACATCATAATAAAATATGCTCTGTATGCAAATAATAAGACTACTTTTTGAATTGAAACAAAGATGGAAACGGTTTTCTGAAATAGAAAGCTGGATGATTAAAAGTGAATCATTGTTTCTTTCTTTCAAAAGAAAGAAAATAAAGGATCACAAATATCACTCAACTTTTATTAGTGCATGGCAGTTGTCAGGAATGGGACTATTCACCCTGGGAACAAAGCTGGTGATATTTCTCAAGAGTGAAGAGTATCATTTTATTGTACAACAATATTAAGACAGAAACTAGAACTGAGCTACTGGGATGCTTCCAGCTTGATTTGAAGGAAGAAATCAGAATATATAGACTCCTTTTGATGAAGAAAATGTCACGATGACGTCTTACTATCTCCTCCTGCTTCTACTGAATTCACCTGTGACCACTGCAGCTTGCTTGATATTACTTTCCATCAACCACACCTCCTGTCTCTCAAAAAAGAACATTTTTCTATGCCCAACTCTTTGCCATAGATCATTAAAGAAGACAAAAGGCATATGCTTTGGTGACATCAGGTGAAAGCAGTCTTGTTTATTGCAAAAGAAATCATACGTTAGAGCTGCACGCTAGCTATTGCTTGAGCTTAGAAATCTATGCCCAACAATAGATCAGTTTCCAGTTTTGTCAGCAGATTTCAGAACATAAAGGAAGTTTTCCTAACTGCAGGGGGTGTTCGAATCTCGCAGAAATGTGAGAGCACAGACATATTTGTTGCACCACATTCTCAGAAATGAAAAAAGACTTGCAAAAGCTGAAGGGATACAACAGATTACAGACTTTACACTGTAAAGAGTTTTTGCCACATTTGTTTCCATAATACATTCTAGAAAAGCGAATGAGATATACCTAAATAATATTATGACAATTATGGCTTTTCATAAAAGAGCTGGTATTTCAGAGCATCAGAGTCCATGTTAAATATACCATGGAAGCTAGGATAGGAGCCTTTTTTTCAAGTGGGGAAGCCAGAACAAGGGATAAAGATCAACCCAAACAGATGCCAGTGGCATCCACAAACTGTTTTTGTGTTTGCTGTTTGTCTACCAACTATGGTTCAAATTACAACAGCAAGTATTTATAAATATGAAAGTATGAATGTAGATATTTTTACTGGGACTATGTCTTGTATTTCTCAGCATCAGTTTTTTATCTTGATTTACAGTTGAACTACATTCAGGCCCTAAGCTTTCCACTTCTGGGTTACTATTCCCCTCTATCTGCAGCTTTGTTGAGCTTCCTTTGCCAATAATGCAGATCTGTGAGGACGAGAGCTCAGGAGATGCTGTTGAGGGCAGGGTCTGGGCTGGCATCATGAGTTCATGGAGAGTTATGCATTGTTGGGACAGGCATGAGCTGGTGCCATCAGGAACTATTGTATTCCTCTTCCTCCTCATGGGGTACTTGTAATTGGAAACTCTCTTCCTCCATCTTATTGTCTACAAGGTTATTTGTTCAACCCCTACTTACCAGGGCCAAGACCTGATGCTGTGTTGGCCTTCTCATGCTGCTTCATAATGGGCTTAAAGAGGCACAATTAGGCAATTGTGTACTTCTGCCCCAATCATGTCTTTTAGCAGTAGGAAAGCTGGTAACAGGACACAAAAGATAAATGAGGATGGTGCTTCATGATGTCAGTTAATCAGTCAGCTATTTTCAAGTACTGACTGACTAGTTAATAAATTGCAGGATGAAAAGTCATCTCATACAGACACACACCAATTCAAGTGACATACTTAGGTTGTTGAATACCATAGCATTTGAAAGTGCTTGAGCAGTATATACCCAATTTAACAATTTCAGTCTTTATCAAGATTTCACTTAAAAAATTACAGGATGAAGGAACTCAAGAGAGACTGAAGTAAACATCTGGTTATGATTCTGGAAATGCGCTCCAAAGGAGCATTTTAAAATATGTGGCCAGTGCACAATACTCCCATGTTACATCCTTTTTAAGCAAAATTAGACAGATGTAAATTTATAAACTGCACAACTGTATAACTCTTCTAATTATTTATCCAGTTCTTTATATCTAATTATTTATTCTTACCTGCCTGAAAATATTTTACCCCTAGTCTTGCTTTATGACAAAACAATATAAAATGAGCTAAAGATGACGGTAACCCTATGACCCTTGCAAGACCCTATTTATAAATTATATATCATAAATATCTATTACAAAAATATTACCAGTGGGAAGGGAAAAATCATTAAAAATATAAAAGTGTGCATTATAAAAAAAAATCCTGTCATGAGTTGAAACATCTTCAGTTAAATATATATATAACATACATCTCATATAAAAGCTATTAATCCAATTTAACAACATTCAATGCATTTATGCTAAGAAACTGTTAAAAAGCACTAAGTGGAATTTACTGAGATGAATAAAAAGCACAATTACCAACTAGACTTAGGAGATTCCAGTTAGTAAATGAGGCTGTGAAATTGCTTTGTTTTAAGAGTATTAATGGATATGCTCGCATTTGACTAATATTTTATGGTGCAGGCTGTTACTAAATTAGATCCTTTGCACATCTTCCTGTAAAGTCATTTAGTTATACTTGGAATACATTTTTATTGCAACATTTTTAAGAGTATTCTGTGTTTTGGAAATTCCTAACCATGAAAAGCTTTTCAGTAAGCTGAAGCTACCCTTTTTACCTGTTCCTCACAAAGTAAAACACTGCTGGGGGTGGACCCTTGTTTCAGAGGTGATGGCAGATGCTCTCTTTTGGCAAGTGGTGCAAATGCCAACTAACTCAAAGAAAAGCCATGCTAGGGTAAAGCACATTCAATACCATAATTGTGTGTTTTGTTGTGTTAGTGATAAGAAGAAGCCATGTGAACTCTGAATCACATCCTATCTTCAGAAACTGTGGAGCATAATTTTTCCATGCTAATTCTGACCTCCCCTTAAGGCTGAGACTGCAAAGATGCCTTTGGACAGGTCTTCTGTGACCAGTTTTATGAAAGTAAGGGACTGGTTCCAGGTTCATGCTAGAGGAGCTGGTCTGAATAAGATTACCGCTCCTTCTTTAAGTTTGTAAGTAAGTCATTCATTTGGTCTCTCGCAAATTTCAAATTTTGTTGGAAAAAACAGTATTAGAGAAGCAACGTTTTAGCTGTCTATAGTACATAAAAGACAATATGCTGGAACTTTTTTTTGGAAAATATTTAAAGATTGTAAGTATCTCAAAGAGGAAGAACGGAAAACTTAGATATCATTATCTTAATAGAGGAGCGCAGTAGGCTTGCATCAGCACTTTCATTTATTATAGTCTTTTAAAATGCTGGCTATATAAGTCTGAGCAAATCTCTTGGTAAAAAGAAAAAATAAAAATAAAGGCATCCACAAGTCCTAATATGCTCAAAATTGCTTGAGATTTCAAGTGAGAGAATGTGAAATTGTATATATGCAGGCTTTTCATATGTGAATTTAAATAATATATAAAGTTCATGTAACAGTGAATAGCAATAATAAGCATAACCTTAGTAACAATGGCCAAGGAACAGAAATAAACACCCTCTGAATAATCTGAGGATTGTAAATTTTTATGAAGTTATACTATATTCAGTGAAATTTGAAGGTTGTGCTATCTTAGCCTTTCCCATCATGTTGTTAAACAGAAACCACCTTTGAATGTGGGAAAGTGCTTTGGATGGATCAGACCCATTGCATAATAGTGTGAGGTCCCAATACCTAGCTTTAATACACCTCCACACTTTCCATGTTACAAACTGATTAAGATATAAATTCTCTCTTCAATTAACCCTGACCTGATGCAATAAATTTCTGTGTAATTTTTCCTGATAAGGATGATATGCAAACCACAGAGAGGAGAGCAGCAAACCTGACTGAGGGTAATATTAGCCACATGATAGTCTCTGAACAGAACTTGGAGAAAAAGCAAAATCTACCATAATGTACTGAGTCGTTATTGCTAACAGAAGCATAGCTCATCTGTAACAGCAGTAACATTGGTCTCAACTGGGGAAACACGGCAGGAGGTTCACGGAGTGCTCTTCCACCATGCTGGGGAAATGATCCCTGGTGAATGCCCAAATGCAGCTTGAAACATCAGAAGTGCTGGTACTCAGATCATCTAAAGCACCAGTTACAAATATATTACAAGGATGTATATGCTCAAAGCTGCTGTTATATGAAGCATGTCATCTTATAGCCCAGGGGAGAAGAATTAAATTGTGCAATCCTAGTTAGAAGCTGAATGGATGCTCTGATACTTGGAGCCGAAAGGCGTAAAATGCAACAGCAAGCAGTCAGAGCGGAAACAAGCTTTGGCCTTTTCTGGACATTTCTACACTCCAGAATAAACCCAGTTTACCACCAATGGCTAAGATAGCTACAACGTGGGAGCGCCCCAAAAATAGAGAGTAGCCAGCTGAATTGATTGAATTTAGTATTATGAGTGGTGATAAATAAACCCAACACTACAGGGGAAGTTGGAGCTCCAGCTTTCCACTATAATAAATTCTTGTAGCTCTAAAACCTCCACTGCTTGAACCGTCAGAGGCTCCTGGGCGGGAGAAGTGTTCTTTTATTCATCCTATGAAATCCCATTCAGGTTCTGCTGCCATATGAATAGCTGATAATTGCCATTTCCTTCCACTCGCTTGTGTTCCCCAGGAAATCGCAGCTGGCTGCCAACCCCACCGAAGGCAAGCAGGGTGGGGAGCTGTGAGGCAGCAGCTGCAGGCAGCACAGCTGTCCTGGCGGGGTTCGCGAGATAGCAGGTCACCTTCACAGGTGTGTACAGGGTGTGAGAATGCATGGGGATGGGGATGAAGAAGTACCACAATGGGGTACTTCAATGCCACTGACCAGCTTAGTGGCTGGTCATGTTTTCCCTTTCTTTTCTTGTAGCTGAAGCCTTCATCAGCTGCTGACTGAAGCAAAACTTCAAGAGTAATGAAGACCAAGAACACTTGTTGACAAGGAGGGTTTCTGCAGTTGAGAAGAGAATTTCTGGGACTGGAGGTAGGGTGTTTGGATTCTTTTTTTTTGTGCTATTTAGGTCTTTTACAGCTATAATAATACAAATTTTTCTTGACTTTTCTCTTGAAGAAGATACTTATTATAGAGCCACCATTATAGAATGGTTTGGGTTGGAAGTGACCTTAAAGCTCATCCAGTTCCAACCACTGCCAGAGGCAGGGGCACCTTCCACTAGACCAGGTTTCTCCAAGCCCCATCCAACCTGGCCTTGAACACTGCCAGGGATGGGGCAGCTGCAGCTTCTCTGGGCAACCTGTGCCAGGGCCTCAGCACCCTCACAGGGAGGAGTTTTATTATTATTTTATGTGGTGTCATTAAAAAAAAAGATAAAAATTAGAAGCAATGTTCAGGATTAAACTCATGCATTTTGAACACAAGAAACATGTTGTTTACCACCATCCACAAAACTTCATAGTCCATTGTGCCTGTCAGCTGAAAAGAAAAATTGGAAAAGAATTATTTGAGCATACTATTCAAAATATTCCCCCTTTATCAGTAAGCAGATACACAGGACACCCTAGAAGTCCAAATTAAGTTGCTCAAGCAGCAAGAGGTCTGGCATTTCATGCATCACAGTTTTCACGTGCTTAACTGAACATGGTTTCATTTGCAAGACTAACGTAGGGGTATTTGTAATTAAAATATTTATTTCCACACACACACACTCAGGCACATATAGATGTAAATGTTTGGGTGAACTTAGACTACAAATGATGTCTGCTGTGCAAAGCAGGGAAAAGGATTATTCATTTCACTAGGGCGGTTTATAAAATAGCTTAACATAGATGGACAGCAATGATATAGCATTACTATTTAGTATAAGCATTGCCTGATAGAAAAGGTGTACAGAAAGCATCTGACACAAAGGCCTAATGGCACAGTTTCCACTCAGGCAAAATTTCCAATAATGCTTTCAAAACCAGAGGGAGGCATTGACCCATTACTACTTGCCGCTAGCATAGCCTCAAGGAACAATTGCAGGACTGGGCCATTATATAACACTTTCCATCCCACAAAATCCCCTGCTGCTTTCTGGATTGTACCTTCTTACAGGTAGATAGATAATATGTTTTCCATGGCAAACTTAGTGACCTAAAGAGTAAAGTGCAGCAGAAACCATGCACACCAGTTCAGGAGGGTAGCGGTGATCTTGGATCAGCATCTAACTATGTCAGTTGGGGAAAGTGGAGTTTAATAACTCATTTCTAAATAAAATAAAATGAAATTAAAGCAGACATTTAAGGAACATAAGCATCATCTGCTTTTATCCTACCCCAGATACAAATGGGGCTATTCACCCACCTCTGCCCCAGAGCACCAGTGGGAAACCTGGGTTTCCCTCCAGGTTGTGTCACTCAGCTCCTAGGTAAGGGGTATGTGGCATTTATGAAATCTGACAAGATATCAACCCAAGGTGACTCTGCAGTGAAAACACTTGTGAAATGGAATTCCTATGCAGGCAGCCTCTATCCACTCAGGGCAAGATTGTAATATACTCCTTGCAATTAACATTTTACGCAGCAAATAGTCTCAATGAAATCAATAAGACAACCCGTGGCATTAAAGAGCTTTTTAATATTGGCAAGAATATCACCACTGGGTTTTGGCATGTGTTGTATTTGATACACAGAATCCCATAAAAGACAAACAACAAACAAATCCAGGGATCACATGCATCTACAGCTGAAAATATTAAATGAAATCCTTACAAGAAATGCTATCTTTCCTGTCTAAGCTTGTTTATGGCACAAGTATGATGCACTCTTATGCATAAAACTCTGTTTCTGAGATGAGACCAAGTATACTTCTGGGTTACAGAAAGACCTCAAAACCAGTCCATTATGAAAATGCTGAGAGGCACTTTACCATGGCAGCCTTGGCTGTTCAAAATGAAATACAAGAAATAGCTAAATTACATGGTAATACTCCTACTGACAGATACAAGTCTACAGTCTTTGGATTTATAAATGAATCATTTGAATTTTGACACTATCTCTGGAAAGGTTTACAGCACCACAATTATGATTATAGAAGGAAGAAAAAGTAAATAGCATTCAAAACTGTGAAAAGAAAGACTTGAATGCTGTTAGCTACTAACGGAAAAAGTTCAGCAGGGGCATGATGTAGCCAACAATTTGTATTTTAATGTATTGATAATGAATCCCAACATAGCCATTCAAATCAAAGTCATTATGCTTTCTTTTGTCCCTATGGAAATTTATATCAATAATACTGGCATTATCCATATATACCTATATGTATATCTATGCATATATATTTCTGAATTACAAAATACTATTGTATAATTTTACTCTCATTTCAAATTTTTAACACAGTGATGCACATCTCCGTTCTTCCAATAAATTTATTCTGCTAGTGTTTTTCAGCATTTTAAATCCCTAAGCGAAGTCAATAATGATGATTACTTACCATAAGCACTGTACACGCCATTCTAATACAGGTTATTTGCAACTTGACATCCTCATTTATATGCATTATTCCACTTGGAAAATTAAATGAAACCCTTGATTCAGAATCTGAAACACTTAGAAGTAATGATCTTGTTTACTGATTGACTGAAGTTGTGTTTTTTAAGCACTATTTAATAGAGGAAAAAAAAGGCAATATCAAGTAAAAATGAAAGCATCTAAGTTATTTTTAGGAAGCATCCATACTGCATGAATAATAGACATTCATTGTGTTTTTCATTGTTTCATACCTCCAAGACAGTTACTTAGCACTGTTAACTTAATACTGCTTCAGATATCTTATAATTCAGAACAGGAATCTAAAAAACTCATTGAAAAATAAAATGTAACACTCAACATTATTTTGCCAGAATCCCTTTTCAGTATTGTTTGCTTACTAGCGTATAGATGGTACTTTCTTAATAAAAATTGGAATAAATTAGAAACAGAACTGGAAGTGCTTAGGTCCAGTGTGAACCGTAAGCCCAAAGAAATGTAAAAAGTTACTTCTAGACCTCCATTGGTGTCAGCACCTTGACACCAATGAGCCTTGTCAGTACCTTGTCAAGGTACTGACAAGGCTCAGGAGTAAAGTGAGCATTTAACAGCAAGGCCCACATGATGGTTGTGCCCAGTTAAGGGCTCTGCTGAGGATCACTTTAAAGAGAATGACCATCTCACAGTGACTGCACGGGTGCAAAGATGTAACCAAATTTGGAGGATAAAAATTTGTTCCATGAATCACAGGTTTAGCTCTAAGTTCAAATGAGGCAAAAATTAGGCATTGCACTGTGCTTCAGATAATAGTGTGAAGGGAAGACAGGTTTCCAATGACACCGGGTATATTTTGTTGTAAGTAAATAATCCTGAAACAAGAAAAAAGTGGATTTTGGAGGGCAGATGACTTTTTTTTTTCATTTACCCCTTCTACTAGAATCCAATTTGAAGTCCTGGTGAATGTGGTGCTTTTAAGTAGTTAATCTCTATTCAGATGATATTATTTCAAATTCAAATTTATAAGCATAAATTTGGGCAAATTCATTCTCACATATCTACAACCTCTCAAAGATTTTCTCAGCCGTTACTATACTGCAGAGTCAGTTTACTTCCAGATCTAAACCTTTCACTTGAGATTTTAAATGTGTTATTTACCACAGAAGAATTGTGAATTTAGTACTCATTAGCATAGAATTAGGATAAATCTGAGGAAAACAATTGAGAGAATGAAAAATATATTGCATACTAAGTTTAGACAGTTTAATAAGCAGATGTTGAAAGCTTGTTTGATGGCATATTTTTATTCAGAATTATATTAGGGATTATGTAAGAGCTATACTATGGATTATAAAAAGAAGAGTAATTTCAGTTTAATTTAGCCCTATGAACATGTGAAAGTGTTTCAGACAGGTGAAGTATACGAAGAGATGTCTTAAGCTACCACTCCAGGGACAATATACAAAAAAGTCAGTTACCAAGTGAAGCTGGCATTTTACTAAGTCTGGATATAATTGTACTGGAAATCTTGAGGATACTTTGAAGCAGTCTTAAGAGAGGATATTGACTCTGGAATTCCTCCTTAGTGTAAGTTTCACTGCAATTTATTTTAGATCAAATATACTCGTGACACAAGATTATACTCTTGCTCTGGATGTATATATTCATTTCACCACCTGAAATTGTTGGGAGCTACATAAGCTCACTTCTGTGTCAGCTGATGTACTTTAACAGGTTTGTGTCTTGCGACTGGAAAATAGTCATGAAGTTCAAACCACTCTTTTTGTGATAGACATGCACTGAGCTGCTGGTCTGTTTGAACTGACTGCACATCAGCTCATGTGTTTTCACTGTTCTGTTGGACTTCAGAACCACCTTGCTGTTATTTCTCTTATCTCATTTGCTGCACCTAGGTCCTCAGCCAGGCCTGGCATTAAACCTTCACAATACCTCAGGAGCACATTTATGGGCACCGGGGCTCACAGTAAGGTGCAAACAGAACACGTAAATATTCTCCTCTGTCCCTGTTCTCTTCCATCAAATAATGATAAAAGCTCTGTAACTTTCATTACTTAAAAAAGAAAACAAACAACAAAAACCTGTCTGCTATCACCTTCCTCTTTTTTTCTTCAGTCCTTCTTTTTCTGACCTCTTTTTTTTTTTTTAGTAATTAATAGCAGAATCCCCTTTTTATGAAGTTGCAGCCACTTTTCGTAAAATCATAGAAGGGATTGGGCTGGAAAAGACCTTAAGGATCATTTAGTTCCAGCCCCCTTTGTGAGGTATACCTTACTAATCACCCTGTTGAAGGCTCTGTCACTTAGCTATCAGCATATTTTAGCAGACTGATTTTCTTGCTCTGACCAACTATTTTATCCCAAGAGACCCTATCTGAATCAGTTCTAATGATCCTGTCTTATTGACTGTTGATCCTCCACTGCTGATTCTTTGGCAAGTGCAATGATTTCTCCTGATGCCCCCTAAGCTTATCCCACACAACATAATCAAGTCGACTCAGAA